CTAAATGAATGGCTACTCTGAATCTTTCCTCACAGCCCTGCTGGCTGGAGGTTTTACACCCTGGCCTGATTAATCGTCCCAGGCAGGGCAGAGCTCAGATCTCTGCAGAGCCTGCAGAGGAGACCATGCAGCCATTTGGACAGGCTATGTTGGAGCAGGCGCTCATCTGAATAATGCACGGCCCTGGTCCTGGAGGAGAGGACAGCCTTGCTCCAGAGGAGCAAATTCACACAAAAAAGCTACAAAAAAACATCAGGACATTTGCTCTGATGGAACAAATGCAAAAAAAACCCACAAAGATGCTGAAGCACTGAGTTCCTTTAACTGAAGGCTGACATCCACCTGTTTAAAGATGGATTTGATTCACAGTAACTGGAACATTGGTTAATTCTACTCTTCATTTAATATTTCACAATAATCTGCAAATGATACCGTAAATACCATTGGTTATTCTATGTGAGTGACAATAAAGACATCTTATCTTAAAAATATATATCCCAACAAAACTATGAGGACTTTATGGTTTCATACTGTTAGACTTACTTATGTGGACTTCTCACCCTGAAGGTGGCGCTCAAAGCTCTGAGTCTGGAATCTGCCTGCAAAGGAAATGCCAGGAAACATTCAAACCCAGAGAACACAGAGAACATCCCAGTGATGACAGAAAGCAGAGCTGCACACCTGTACCTTTGCCTGGAAACCCGTCTCATACACCATTTCCTTCCAGCCATGCTCCTGCCACATAAAGTCACAGACAAATGTCTTTGTGCTATAGGAAGTGAGCTCTATAGGACACAAATTTGGATCAGAAACAAAGGAGCAACATTCCACACCTTGGTGAGGAAGTGGTAAAGCATCTCGTTGTTGGAGAGAACTGGATGAGAGGCCACACGGAGCAGGAAGTTCTCCAGCCCAATCCTGCGCCGCTCCACAAAGTCTGGGTCCATGTTATCTGCAGAAAGCTTGTGCCATACAAACTCTGCCTGCAAGCAGAAAACACATTACCCCCACCTTTCTGTACACCTGAAAAGGTTTGTAAAATGTGCCAAGCCAGGCTTGGTGAAGGCTCTTGTCTATTGTTGGGAGAAAGAAAAAAAGTCATAGTTGAACCTTGTTTTTGTTTATAAAACAGGGTGATGATGGCTGAAAAGCACCGTAAGCCTGGCTTCAAAACCATTCTGACAAAAAGACCAGTTTACTGGATACGATGAGTTAATCTGATATATTTAATAAGAGCATCACTCAAGTTCATCTGATCTAATGAACGAAAGAAAAAACTGTGACTTAATTTACAAGTCCAGATTTGAGAATTATGATTAATGCAGCTAGGATTGTGGAGCATACAGAGTGAAATTCCCCATATCTGGCTGAGATCTGGATCACATGCCTCAGCATGTTTCTTGCTTTCTATACCTTCATGCACATCCTTTCATTATTTATGTGCAAAGATAATGAAAAGATTATTTCATTATCTTATAACACATGTGGAACAAAAATTAATTATCTACAATATTTAAGATTACATCTAGACGTATATAAAATATTCTGAGTTGTATAAGCTGTTTTTCTACTTCTCTCTCCTATCCAGCTGCACCTAGTAACTCAGTCTTATAGAACACATCTCCTTTGTGTAGGTAAAAGGGAGGACCAAGGCCAGCGGCCTGGAAGGGAAGAGATGACAAATAGTTTGTGCATCCCCACTATGGGAGCAGGATGAGATGCTCAACTTATCTGAGTGGCTTTGAAGGAAGCTAGGTAAAGGACGCCTCCCCCTCAGGGATTGGGCATTTGAAACGACTCCCACTTCCTGTGTGTCAAGAAACTGTATATGATTCTGTGATTGTTTCTGCCTCCTCAGAACACACCTAGAGTTAGCTATGATTTTACCTGTGTTGTTCTCCACTTGCAAGTGATATTAAAAGTTTTTGTTCTTTGCATTTTGCTGTCTCAGTCTCTTCTCTGTAAAATCTGTGCATTTCAACATACACACATAGTTCATTCTATGTGTTACCTGGATTGTTACCAGTGTGAATATAATGTCAATAAAAATAGAGATATATTTCATAAGAAAAATGTTATGATGTTCAGTTCTTATTTTATCCATTGTATACAGTTGAAACCAGAAATGTACTAAGTGAAAAAAACAAACAACCTATTTGGTTTATTATATTGCTTTTTCAGTTCTGGCTCTTCCACTCTGAGAGGCGTTTCAGTCCGTGTTGGGAGAGAATTTCTTTCACTCTGGATAATGACACTCCCTCACCGGTCCAGCCTGGTGAAAACCAGCGTCTTGTGTGACCTTTTGCTTTGTCCAAAGAGTCTGGAGCCTTGGCTACTGAGAAACCATTCCTTTTTGGAGGTATGATCTTGTAAATTTTACCCAATCTCTAATGTTTGCCTGTGACATATGCAATGTGCCAGTTTGACGCTATGAAACCGAAAATTTTCTGCGCTGTAAGCAACCATCCTGCACTGTGAAGAGAGAAAAAAACGATCCAAATGAGTCAACTGTTAATGCTAATTCAATATTTGGAAGTGTGAAGACTGAACAGATTCATTCACTTCCTCTGCCATCACCAAAACTACAGGCAGACTACAATTCTAAAACAGAGCAGAAAATCACCATCACTGAGTCGAGAGGAGAGAGCCCAGACTGTGCTGGAAATGACCAGCTATCACCAGCTAAACAAGGTCTTTTTCCTTTGTTCTGAGGGTGATTCACACAGTTCACGCTACAGCATTTTCATCTCTGAGACACAGATCATGTCTCCTTCCCAGACAGTATGATACCTGGACAGTCTCGTTTATGCTTGCATATAATTGTTCGAAAAGAAGAATGTGGAAATTGGACCAAAGAATGAAGCCTATTTATATAGGTCTACAATTCAATACCTGATTTATTGGTGATGATTGATTATTTGCTCCTCTACATCACACAAGGAAGGAAAGCATTTGTAACCTTAAAATACATTCACAGGTATACTACCTCCAGTTAACTCTGGTGTTGCGAAGTAACCAATCAAAAGCCTATAATTCCATCACATCATCCAGCCATCCATCCATCCATTTTCTGAGCACCCTTCTCCCTAACGGGGTCGGGAGGTGCTGGTGCCTATCTCCAGCTGCGTTCTGGGCAAGAGGCGGGGTACACCCTGGACAGGTCGTCAGTCTGTCGCAGTCCATCACATAATTTTATAGGTTTTTCTACATGGTTTCAGGGAATTATAATCATAAAACTATGTAAACCTTTGGCTTTGAATAAATGACCAAAAACTTCAGTAAATATCTGATTTCATCTATATTTCTACAGAGATCAAGATCAATCCCAAGCAGAGTAGATGAAGAAAACGGTTTTCTTCATCTACTCAAGATTTTGATTAGATTCCACAGATTGTACAGAAGCTATGAAACCTAATGTAATCCATATTTTTAAATAAATGAGAGAACAAAATCAAATCCCTGAGAAGACATACTGTTCTAGTTTCTTCAGGTACTTTGAGTCACACCATGTTGGACAGAGAATTACTCCACTGAAGGAGTAAATATCCAGCACCGCCAGTAAGATGCACTGATGTGTTGAAGAAAAAGTCAGCTGAATCAAAATATTCCAGGATCAAATGTGAGACCATCTGTCCAACAACTGATGCTTTGTTCACATTGGGTCATTCAGAAAGACAATGATACCAAGCAGGGCTGAATGGCTGTTTAAGCAGGAAATGTGTTGAAGTGAATAAACAATGCCACAATGCTGCTTTCCCACCAGGGTGATGCTTTGGGCAAGTTATGCCTGAATACATAAAATAACTAATAAATGAGAGGCGCATTAATATGTGGAAGCAGTATGCTGCATTGAAACAATGAATGAGGGACAGACATTTTTATGAGGAGCAATACTGAACTCACCCTCTTCTCTGGCAGAGGAGGAACCACGATGTATGAATATGTAACTATCAGATAGTTCCTCAGCAGTTCAAACTCACTGTATCGCCTCCACAGAGAGTCAGGCGGTGGATTACGGCCTTCTGCGATTGCATCCATTGGTCTTTAAATTTTATTCAAGACAAAACAAAAGAAAACAAAAACAGAAGTTGAATTCTGCAACATCACAAGAGGAGGAAGTGCAGCTGCATGCATTTTTAAACATCAGGTGTCAAACTACAGGACATATTCAAACAGCAACCAGTGGATTGCTGTGCTCACCTTGTCTCAACTAGGTACACAGTGAAGGTCTCCTGTATGCTGACTGCATTCTTACCGCTCCTTTTCTCAGCTTCAGCAACACAGATCTCCATCCTCCGCAGGAGACAGGAGCCTTCTGTCAGCATCTGCCCCAACGCAACAACCCGCGTCAGGATAGAGATGACAGTTAAAACCTTCTGGCCATGACGGCCACATAGCTCCGACGTAGCTGCGTGAAATGTTTGTCTGCCCAGTTTTCTTTGCATAAGCGAGTCCTGACGTCAGCTTAAAATCCACGACACAAAGCGGCGTCTTTGCTAAACAAATGGTCGTTAAGCAAGATGAAGCGGCTGTTTACCGTGTTACTTAGGCTCCCGTCAGATGCTGCTCGGTCCGACTCATCGTTAGAAGCCACCGACTCTTCCTTCACGTCCTCCGCCATCCTTCCTCATCAGACCACGGATCCAGTCAGCTCGCCTCGCAGTGTTTTTACCGTAATACAATGAAGCACAGAGCACCGTGAGGTCAGCCTTCAAATGATGACGGTGAGGATTGAAGACGCATGCGCGGCGAGCATCATCCGACTGAGAAAGCGACCTAATAATAATAATAATAATAGCGCAGAATCAAACTTCTATTTTTAGGACGCTCAAAAACGCTTTACAAGAAAAACCACAAATGACATAAAAGATTGTGGATAAAAAGTAAATGAGAAAAAATATAATATTTTCTGATATTGGTTTAATAATATAACCAGAACTATACAAAACCACAATGTACTCGACTGTCATTATTTATTCAACAAAGCTAGCCAACACAAATGATGATACAGTAAAACTTTATTTTGAATGTTGAAAAAAACCTGGCAGTCATCATAACTACAGAACACACAACATAAAGAAAAAAAATCATGTCTGAACAAGCAATATGTCAACATAAACCATAAATGGATTTTAATTCAGACTTTCTCTCAAAAGTCTGGTTGACATTATCTAAGAAAACTTGGATCTCTCCAAATACATAAAAGCTTGAAAATGTTGTGGCCTGGAAAGAGGGGAGTAAAACCTTTGGTCATTTCTATGTTAACCCCACAGAAGGCAACACCTGTTTGGAGTAGCTGTTTCTTTTCTACCTATTGATTATTAAGATGTCTGACGCTGTTGATTGTCCTCCACCTGTCTGTAAAAGTCACATCATACAACAACATTTGATTTCCCTTTTGGGAATAAAAATTATTTTCAATTGAACTGAAGTTATTAGAGATTCCAGTTCCATCATCAAATTCAGTGGATGTAGAATTTGTTGAACTTTAGTCAAAACTGAACTGAAGTGCAGACTGGAAAATTAAACAGCTCTAGAACTGTTTATGGAACAAATCTTCAGAAAATATCCCAGTCAAACAGACCGGACCCTGTTTGACAGTGCAGACTGGATAAAAAACATTCTCACTGTACTGCAACATGACTGTTGCATAGACATGTTGCTTTACCAGGCTGATGTTACAGCCAGGCATGCATTTGCAAAATCATGATTTTGATCATGCAAAATCAACATTATTTAACTCCATATTTAACTCCATGTGTTAGTGTTGGCTGGATGGAAATTGTTATGGTTGAATTAGATTAAAACTGAATAAAGTTTAGACAAACAATTCCAATCTTTCTGACCACACACTTCAGCAGTCACTTTTCAAATTGAAATAAAATAGAGTGTGACAATTTGCACATAGTACAGGCAATGTATGGTAAATGATTTGCATTATTGAGCAAAAACTGTTTTACAATGGAAACTAAGACTGTTTTTATATCTTAAAGTAAATATAAAAACATTTAATTTAGGAAGTCTAGATTTTTAAAAAATCTTTTAGAAAATTTGATAAAATTAGGAAACCGTTTATTTTCCATATATTAAAACTTTTAAAAACACTGAAAGCAAACTGCATATTTTCCTCATTTTTAAAGACTTCAAACAAATTGATTATCAGTTTTTCAAGGAACTGACTTTCTAAACTTCAAAACTTACATGAAAGACTTCTAAAGGCACTTGCTGAAGACCCATCACAGTTAATGGACAGAAAAATAAAATCTGAATCAAGATCAATGCTTTAGAATAAATACATATGTGCAAATTTACAGCTCACAGGTAGAGTTACATTCCTCTGCCATGAAGCACATCTTTGCTCCCCAGTGGGAGGGGCTAAGTCCTCATGAGGCTCACTCCACCTTCCCTCCACCCAGAAGGAGCAGAGTGTAGTCCAGTCAAAGTCCAGGTTTTCACAGCCTTTAAGGGCTCTGAGCCTCATCTTGTGAGCCAACAAAGAAGCATACTTGCTGTGGGGAAGCAGGGGCAGTGAGAGAGGAGGAGGTAGACGATGGGGATGGGATGTCCCAGTAGTTGCTGTGAAGGTCAAAGGAAGAAAGAGCAGGAACGATGGTCTGTGTGGGACTTTCAGGGTCTGAAGGGAGCGGCGGGACACTCAAGCACTTCCTCAGGCAGCGCTCACTGTGCAAGGCAAACATTCAGAACAAGAGATTATAAATGAACAGATGTGATCGGAAAACATTTAAGAACCGATGGAGCCGTTTTTTTTTTTCATTGTGTGACATGAAACCAGACTAATATTTTATTTAGGGTCATTAAAATAATTATAATTTGAATTTACTACTTTCCAGGATGTGAAACTTTCTGCAAGGTCAGCCACTTGTACCTCGCTCCACTAAGAGCTTCAGGTTGGGTCTGGGCTGGTCAGATCTGGCCTGGTTGGATTGGGTCTGGTCTGGTTGGGTTTATATGCTATTTTATGGTCAGTGTGTTCAGGAGAGCGTGTCCACCACCAGTTGGACTCTCACTGGTGGTGAGAGGTTATTTCACTTGTAATAAGACATTTTTACCATGTTATAATAAATTAATCTGCCAGTCCAACTAGTAATATTTACTTTGTTTAAACGCTCTCTGTCCTGGACTTCCATGAATGCTAACACTAATTAGTGCGCATAAATGATTTTCATGGAACAATAAGTTGTTTCTCCACATTCTGAGCATCAGGAACACAAGGTTGATTGACATTGCTTAGACCCTCCCCCTGACTCTGATTGACTGTTTTTGAGCGATACATTTCTTCACAGTAGTAGCTCAATCCTTTCACAAAAATTATACTGTCACAACATGGTGACACTAATAAATATTTTTGTTCTCGTTCTTATTGTGATATTTATCATTATCACAATAGTACCATATTATTGTGCTAATAATATGGTACTATTATTGTTGTAAAACCTCCATATTGCCCTTCAAGGAAACAAATAGACTGGTCAATTGAAATGCATCTTTATACAAGTTTTCCTCAGCTGGTTACTTGGACCTACTATATATTCACTAAAGACTTTAAAGTGACGTAAGGGATGGCTTCAGGTGCTTCACCTGTTGGCAGTAACTGTGTTGGTTTTCCAGGCCTGTCTGTACACGTCACCTGCCACCCCAAACAGCCAGCGCACGTCAGCAGGCACCTCTGGGATCCACTCCACAAACCTGCCGCACACACGGCACATGTTCACGTATATTATATTCTATGAATAAATGTTTAATACCCACAGAACATTTAACAGTTTCTGTCACGTACAGCTACTGTCCCTTTGTGCATTTAATTGTCATCTGGAACAGGAATAAAATCTAAACTTTTAATAAACATGTGGATCCCCCCAGCTTACCTCTGGGCCACAGAATATGCAGACTGGACCGGAAGTGTGCATGGCATCAGCATGTAGGAAGCAACTCTCAGTGGCAGCATGCCAGACACTCTGGCATAAAGACCCGATTTGTCTTGGCAGGCCTCACAGAACACTGTTAGACACGACGAGGGGGATTATTCAGCTGCATGCAGAGGCGTCATCTTATCTGGTCAACTTTCAAACTTAGAGTCAACATCCCACCTTTCTTTATGTGGGTGGGCAGAACAATGTGCTCATCCAGCCACCAGTGCTTGTTGTGCAGCAGGCGGAGCCTACGCAGCACCCACTCCTTGGTGCCCTCAGCAGGCTTTGAGCAGCAGCTGCTGGAGCTGGGACCGGAGCTGGAGCCGGGGCTGATTCCGGAGCAGTCTGGCAGGCTGCGGCTGGGGCAGTCCAGCATCAGCAAGTCTGGCAGCACAAACACACACAGACCACACAGTTCAGGTTAACTGCTACTCAGACAAGGCTGCAGGCGGCAGAACAACACGGAACTCACTGTTTTCCTGAAGGAAGCGCAGAGCGTCCTTATAGCCACTCTGACACATGTCAGCAAGGACCTGAGGGAGAGAAAGGCATCAGGTCAGAGGCTTTGCTTCACCTGCCACTGCTATTTCTGACTACCTGTAGGGTAGCTGAAGTTTTTCAAAATAAGACCATAATAAGAAGAAAATAATCCACATCATTTATTCACTGGATAAATTTCTGAACAACTTCTTGTCTTTCACGATTTTTGGTCAACATTGAAATCAGAATCAGATTTATAAGTTTGTGCACAAAAACAAGCAATTTGACTTCAGTTCCACTTTTACTCTCATTGAAGACAATTAATATATATATATATATATATATATATAAATATATATATATATATATATATATATATATATATATATATATATATGCTGGCTGGATAGCTCAATACATAAGGCATCAGTATATCACCCGAGAGGGCGGTTCAAATCCAGTCTGGGTCCTTAGGCAAGACCCTTCAAGCTACTGCCTACCTCATACCATGAGAGATACTAAGTTGCGTAACATGCCGGCTCAGACGTCGCCCGGCCAAACAAGGTCTGCGTCAGGTGTTGGGGAACCAGAGCACCTTGATGACAAATGGGTACTGGAACAAGACGGAAATGGGCGAGAGATGAAAATGTGGATCTGTTGGAATGCTACTACTCAAGTAACCCTAGTCAGAGAGGTTACATGCAAAGACTGGGGAAGGAATGGTTACTTCGACATCCCCAGTCAACACTAAGCGCTAAACAACTAGTAGCTCAGTGTTCCAACATCCGCAAACGGCAACTGCTATCACAACTTGAGATTGACGAGATACAACACAAATGCTACGGCAAAAGGGAGGAACCCGGATGTCAGAACTGTGGGGACTTAACTACATCCGTGTATCCCCTCTTCACCCAGTGAGGGGATACATGGCCCCAATGAGCGAAACAGAGCTGACCTGAGAGAGAGAATCATGACCCGAACCGGCACCAATTACAACGGCTGAGTGAAGTGCGAATGTGAATGCAGCATTGAGAACGATCCCTACCAACACCATAACAGAAACCAATGAGCTGATCTACAACTCAGCATCAGTGATCCTTGAGACGCTTGGCTATAAGAGCACCATGAGACCCAATACCCACCATGGAAAAGACGGTTAGAGGCTAAAATCAAGGTAACAAGGAGGGAAGTGAGCCAACTGTCAGAGCTCCACAAGGGTACAATGAAAAGACCAGTACCCAGAAAGTACAGGCAGATGCCCATACCTGAAGCACTCGAAACTGCCAAACAGAGGCTCCAAGCCTTGTCCAGCCGCCTAAAGAGATACACAAGGGAGAATGAATCCAGAAGGATTAACCGGCTCTTCTCCACTCAACCAGCTAAGGTGTACTCTCAATGGCAGGGGTAACAATAACAACAAAGCAATATAATAAATAATTCCCTTCTCACCCACTGCGGGTGGTTCTTATCCTTCTGCGCAGTATCTTGGCTGTGCCAAGGACTGCACATTTCTGGACTGAGATGTCTGATGTTGTTCCTGGGATCTGTTGTAGCCACTGCTCCAGTTTGGGGGTTACTGCCCCGAGGGCCCCGATGACCACAGGCACCACTGTGGTCTTCACCTCCAGTTCTTCCCTGAGGCCCTGGTATTTCTCCAGTTTCTCGTGCTCCTTTTTCCTGATGTTGCAATCACTTGGTATTGCTACATCAACCACAACGGCTTTCCTCTGATGTTTATCCACTACGACAATGTCTGGTTGGTTCGCCATTACCATTTTGTCTGTCTGGATCTGGAAGTCCCACAGGATCTTAGCTCTGGCGTTCTCCACCACCTTTGGGGATGTTTCCCACTTTGATCTCAGGGTTTCCAGTCCATATTCTGCACAGTGTTTCTGTACACTATGCCTGCCACTTGGTTATGTCGCTCCATGTACGCTTTCCCTGCCAGTATCTTGCACCCTGCTATGATGTGCTGAACTGTCTCAGGGGCCTCCTTGCACAACCTACACCTTGGGTCTTGTCTGGTGTGGTAGATCTGGGCCTCTATTGCTCTGGTGTTTAGGGCCTGTTCCTGGGCGGCCAGGATGAGGGCCTCTGTGCTGTCCTTGAGTCCAGCTTTTTCCAGCCATTGGTAGGATTTACTGATATCAGCCACTTGGGTTATTTGCTGGTGGTACATCCCATGTAGGGGCTTGTCCTCCCATGATGGTATCTCTGGCAACTCAACCTCCGTTCCCTGTTGTCTGAGACATTCACTGAGCACATATTTATATATTCATATAAATATGCAACATGTATGTGTTTTTATAGAAAGAGAAGAGTAGGCTGAATTGGTGAAAATATGCATACTATGACTCTGGAGTCTGACTGTTGAGACTCACAAACATTCTGGACTGGTGATCCATTAGAACTAAATGAAAGTTCAAACTGAAAAAAAAAAACGCTATTTGGATTTTGATGAAAACTGATGAAGATAATGAACTGATGAACTGTTTTTAAACGTATGTAAAGTTTTGGGTTACATTCCTGATCAGCACCACATGCCAATGTCTGTTTGTCCCCCCAAAAAACATCTTTAATAAAATTTACCATAATCAGGAAAGGACAGGAAGCTAAAATGACTACCACTTAAACTGCCCATTTACAAAGTGTTAAGTTAAAAGTAGAAATCAGCAAGGTTTGTGTGACCACCAGGGGGCAGGAGAGTTAGCATCTTCTGAAGTTGTGGCGAATGAACAGCAACATCACCAGGTTTTAAGTGGTTTCCTGAGGAACAGCATAGCATTGTGGGAGTTTCTACCTTGGGTTCTGGGGGAAACAGAGCTCTGCTGAGGCGGTACAGGTTCCCCATGTTCATCTGGATACTGGTGTTAGTGAAACGGAGCTCATGGAAGCTGGTGGAGTTATCCCGAGGGCAGATGTCGCTTTCACCAGAGAAGGGCGAGATGGTGATGGTGTTCTTCAGCTCCGACTGAGGCAGGTTATCACTGATTCCACCATCCACATACCGCTGCACATACGCAAACAAACAGGAAGATGTTCAGCAAATAGGTGAATTTTCCATCAATAATTCACAATTCCACATAAGTCATATTTCGCAGAAAAAAGAACACTTAACTATAGGAGACTTCCACTGAATTACAATTAATACCATCATTAAGCTTTCTTAGAAAGTTACAAAAGGATATCTAACAGTTTTCTGCTAAAAGTTACAGAGAGTGATTTGTTTGTTACTGGAGTATTTTAACCATCAGCCTCCTGACATATGGTTAATTTCCCAGTGGAATATGACTTCTGTACCCACAAAGAGCTCTTTCAATTTTAGATTTGTAATATTAATGTTCCACACCAGCAAGCTGGTTTGCAGAGGAACCTCGGATTCCAACAGGTTTTCCAGACCTCCATCAATCCAGCACAGATTTACTTTCTGCCATGACTTCTCCGTGCACTATGGAGCAACAGTTCTCACATCAACATTCCTCACAGGAAGCATTTTAAACTGTACAGCCACACTCAGGGAAGGAGATAGGTTTGACTGATCTACTATTCTTCAGAGGACAACATCTTGCTTCCATTCTGTAGAAAAGAAGGGTTCCATGACCCTGAGCTCCCAGAGGAGGACTGCTATGGTTGTAAATTTCCACTTAGTCAGAGAAGAACAGGTTTGTTCACAGAGTGCCAGCTACAGAAAGTAGGGCAGAGCAGGAATGCAGATCAGAGTGAGCACTGGGTACACACACACATCCGCATGTACAAACACACTCTGACTTAATAGTGGAGCAAGGTGGCCTACTTTCTAATAAATCCAGGATCTCAATCATTTATCCAAAGGACACAAATTATATTTTAGTACAACTGGGTTCTGGTTATTAGTGGAGTAAACCAAAGGAGCTCTGATTTGTGTGAAAATGGTGTGAAATTGGTTTTGCAACAATAAATCTCTGACACTGAAGTTTTCTTCAGTGTCAGAGGAACAAAGTCAAAGTAAAAATGTACACTCAGCTAGAAGCGTTTTATGACAATGTGAGTTAAGTTTCAGATTTTGTAATAAGTTTTGTATAAATATGAATGTTTCTTTGAATGTTTTTACAAATATTCAAAGAAAATGAATCATTATATAAGCATTTCTTATCAGTGGGTATCAATAATTATTGATTAGTTTTTGTTTTATGTATCTGAAATCCTACTAGACTGTGGTGTGATCTTTCCTGTTTTATCCAGCTTTCTCTCCAAATTGTTGTTTTTAAACAGTTCAGAGGCACAGCCAAACCTGAAACTGCTACTGCGCAAGTTACTCAACAGGTTGTTGCTAAGTAACCAAAGAATATGTGAGTTAGTAGATGCCACCGACCTTGCTTAGCTGGTCATGAGAGGTTGAGCAGCTACACCTATTTCTCTGCCTAAAACCCCCACAGTGCAATTCAGGATGGATAGGAATTCAGTGAAATTATTGAATATTCCATTAGAAATATTATCTGTATATTTATATCTTGCTAAAAAGTTACTTTTTAGTTAGTTTTGTCCTATGTCAAGTTTATTACAATATTTCCAGAAGAGACTAGACCACAAATACTTTGTAAGATTTTATGTTTCGCAGTGGGATAAAATCTTGCAGCCATGTCTCAGTAAACTATAGAATAATGTTTGCCTGACTTGGTAAGATTTGCCTGGGTTCTTTTTAGGGATCTGAATACATAGTTCTCATGTGACAGCACAATAAACAAGGCACAATCTTAGAATTGGCTTTCACCTCATTCCTAACTTATAAACTATCGAAGTACACTACAACTATTACTTGATCACCCTACCCACTTGGGGTATATTATCACATATTTTATATCTGATAATAAGATAAATATCAGTGATATTTATTGTAGTACTGCCAAACTAGCAAAATTAGTAAGTAGTGAAGTGAAGTATGTCATAGTTCTAGTATGTCATAGTAGGAGATCAGAGGCAGCTTGTTCACATCGTCTGACATGTTTTCCTTCTCCATCTCATACGGGTCAGTGACTTTCATGTATCTTTCTCTCGCACAGTGGCCAAAATTGTCCACATATTTTCTTTTAACTGGTCTGGAACCATGGGTCTGCTATGCATTGAGCATGTACTTTCCTACTAAGATGGTGCAGATCACTTCTGATTCAGATTTGTGGGAACTATGTATTGATATTGATCATGTATTTATCGCAATATAGATTGTTACTGAGTTATTGTCCAGCCCTAAATGCAAGTGTGAAAAGCTTCCTGGTAAAACAGGACCTGAACCTGAAAAAGGACTTTTTCTCTATAGCAGCTCCAACCATACAGTCCCTGGAAAAACTATTTGAAAAAGGCCCACCTTTGTCTCACCAGTCCACAGAATATTTGTATGAAAATCCTGGGAATTATCAAGTTTTTGGTCCTTTGGTCAGAATTCAACAGAGGCCTCACATGACCTACATGGAGCGATTTCAAGGCCAAAAACAGTGCTGACACAACAGAAGCACTGAAGCAACAGAAGGTTTGGCACCGTTTCCTGTGTCCTCTATGTGTACTCATGGTTCTCACTGTGGTTCTCTGCACTCCCAAAGTCTTTGACATGGCTTTATAAATCTGTCCAGACTGACATTGTTAATGACACTGGTTCTCATCTGTTCTTGAATTTCTTTCATAATGTGCAGATGTTTGAGATCTTTAAGCCAACTTCAGTTTGTCACATTCTATTAAGGACTTCTTGATTTGAGACATAAAGAACTCTTTTGATGCGTTGCAAAAAGAGTCCCAGTACATTCTGGGGGGCACCCAGAATGCACCTGGAGTATTCTCCAGTTTATTTAATGATGCAGGATCCTCACCAATGGCAATATGAAGTATGTGTCCAAAACACACCTCTTTCTGTAATTAATGTACAATGACAACACTGGCAACGATTTGTGAAGAAATAATAAAGCATGCAAGTTTCTCATGGTGACCTCTCCTGTGTATTCTATTTCATTATCTGCAGTTCTTATTCCTCAAAACAAACACATCCATTCACAGAAAAGATAAGGGCCAGTAAACATTACTGTGGACAGGACACAGTGCACTGAACCTATAGATAACACATGGAGGAGACTTCCTGTCCATAAACTAACTATTTTGTCACAAATAATTGATCCTGTGCATTGTGAATGCAATGCTCAGTAAGCAGAATAAGGGAAGAGAAGGCAAGGTTTCATACATGGTTTATGTTGGATAAATTGTGATGTTATTAATCAAATATTTGCTATTCTCATTCATCTATATAATGTATCTTTTCTTATATGCTTTTATTGTTTAATTTCATCTTAGAATTAAGAATGTTTCTGTATTGTTGAATTACTCTGATTCCTTTCTCAGAAGGCCTCACTGAACGAAAGCAGTGACTACAGGTTTCTGCAGGTTTATCTCTCGGCTCGATTGCTATAAAACTATGACCGTGAAGATGTACAACTTGTTCAGTTTGACCCTGTGTCTACAACGAGACTATCAAGTGCAAGATACCTTGTGTTTTAGTTAGTGATTGTCATTGGCGCTGTAGCTATGTGATGAAGTGTTTTCCCCTCCCTTTAGAGTTAAGGCCTTCTTTGTGATTAGGAATCCTAAAAACAATAAAAAGAGAGGAGCAGGCAAATGTGGTTTCAGAGCAGCAGGAGATTGTAACTGAAAGCACATCTCTGTCTGTTCTCCTCACGAGTAAGAAAGAATCTAACTCTATTGTCTTTCCTGTGTTTAAGGACTTCTTTAATAGGTGTTAAACCTGACAGTTTACATGTCTGAGACACAAATGTGATTTCAGCTTCTATCTTCATCAATAATCACAAGCAACATAACATCTCAGTAAAGTGAGCCATCCTTATGCTTACTACTGTGTTGCAGCATCTTGACAAAGGTGCTGCTGCAGTGGTAAAATAATAATAAAAAACTTGAGCCCTCAGTGTCATTTTCTCTTATTAATTAAAAAAAAAACTTTTTGAGACAAAACTGTCATCCCCTGTTATTTTGAAGACTTAAAGTGAAGGGTCAGCCTTGATCCTACCGATAAGATTAATAAGACAAACAGTCTTCTAAGAAGAGAGGAGATCGACTGACTACAGTGGCATAAAAAGTCAATCATAAGCATCAAATAAAACAAAAAGCCAAAAAACAAAAAAGAACCCAGATGAACATCAGTGATCTCAGGTTTATCTGGATTCTTCCTAAAAGCTGGACTGTGGCATGTGAAGGCTTTTTTTTTGGTTATTTTATTCTTCTTCACTTTCAACACAGAATGGTTCTAAAGCTGCTTTTACTGTTCACTTTTTATCACTTTTATAAAAGGCTTTTTTTGTACTACGTTCAAAAATATATTATTTTATTAATATACCTTTTGCAGTTTTTATCTTTACTAGTGATAAGCTTCCCATAGCACATGTCTGTTTTTCACTCTTTATTAAAGCAGTAAACATTTTCCCCAATATACACAAAAGTGGAAAACTTTCAAAAAAGAAGAATGATCAGAAGCAAAAAGCAGGCCAGAAGTTCCAAATGAGCTGAGAGAGCAGAGGCCCTGTCATTAAAAATTCTCACTTATATTCACAGGAAATGCAACTTTCTCCACAGAGTGGATCTGTTCATTGTTTTTGTTTTGGGGAATCAGTTTTCAGTGAATTCCTGGTTATAACCTTCTGCTTTTTATCAAAATAGTGACTATCTGGTGTCATCAGCAGTTTACATAACTTCTTCTGCCACTGCTACATGTGCTTTTCTGAAACCAGACTCCTTAAATTATTTGGTGTCAGAACTCTTCGAACCAAGTAGATACATGTACTCCAAGACAGCAATACCCTCAGACAGTCATCACCCTCTGCCCTCCCCCCGGTGATCCTGTGTCCCCTCTGGCCATTACTTATCTACATATTGATCTCTCTATGTTAAACGATTTGCTAAAAATTATTTGCTTGTTTGTATGTTAAAGTGAAACTTCTAGAAGACTGAACTGTACTTTGCAACATTATTATATATGAACTTATCTGGTGGATTATTATCTACTTCCAGGGCAGTGCACTTAACTTTACAGCTTTATCACTGCGTTGAGAATCCAATCTAATCTGGGAGACTTTGTTTGAACTGAATGACTCTGGAAGTCAATGTAACCAGTGACAGAAGCTCAGTCAGAATGATGGATGGATCCAAAACAAGAAGTCAAAACAACTGTTGAATAGCTTAGTTACTACAATAACAGATAACATACAATTCTGGATAATTTTACCTGAAAAAAACTTTATGATTCTGTTTCAAATTTAACCAGATTTACATTTTTTCAAGATTTCATTAAATAAAAAACAAAGTGTGACTTAGAGTTGTGATAAATCAAACATTGCTTTCATTAGATCTGATATAGTCTAAAATGTATCATTATAATTATTGTTTTTCCCTGTTCAGTGAAACAAGTACTAATAATCATATTACAACTTACAATTATCTTAGTAATCAATTATTCTAAAAATTAAACATTAAATCGAATAAAAAAATGGTACATTCTTCAGATTTTTCATTTAACCACGTCAGCATTTTTGTGCAATATCAGAAATGTTAAAAGATACAATTAAACAAATAATCCCCCTTTAATTAGAAAAACATTTTAGTGTCTTAAACGCAATAATAGAATTACTTTAGTGAAAGCTTGATTATTTGTTGCAAAAAAAAAACATCCTTCTAACATCAACATGTGAAAAGCTCAAGCTTTTCAACTTAATGTGACATCTATACAGTGGCAGTCTCTGATATGGGCGGGATGGGCAGCCGCCCAGGGTGACTTTCGTGAGGGGTGGCATGAATGGCCCAGACTGGGGGCAGGTGGAAGATGGTTTGCCCAGCGCAGCAACCAGGCTCGAACCACCTCTGAATGTAGCGCTGATCTGGTGACTATTTCATTAATTAATTCATGCAAAAGTTACTTGATATGATTTTTTTTTAGGGAATCTGAACCAGGAGACGCTAAATCTGCCATGTGAGGAGTTCAGGGTAGAACAGCTTACAGATGAATATTTTGGGGGTTTTTTTTATCATAAATGCAACGTATATGTTTTTGTACAGTTTTGGCTTCATTACTGCTCTGAGTGTGTTGTTCTTTCAGCAAATGCCATTTTTTGAGACTGTATACTCCAGTTAACAATTAATCAATTACTAAGCGAGTTATTTGATGATTAAATAATCGATTAATCTGATTAATCATTAACCTTCAGCTCTAGTAATATTACACCTACCACTCCTCTGAAGGATGGAGGAATCAGTCCACAGTAGATGGGGATGAAACAGCTGCAGACCAGAGCCTGATGACAAAACACAGGGTTAACACACACACACACACACACACACACACACACACACACACACACACACACACACACACACACACACTCGCACGCACACACCTGGATGAGCTCCTCTTTGGAACCGAACTCTGACACCAGCACGTTCTCTCCGTCTGACACTCTGGTCAGGGAGACGCAGAGTCTGCCAGAGGCCAGGACGTGAGCATCAGAGGGGAGGTCCCTGTTCAGGCCGGACCTCAGGACCTTCACTAGGTTGAAGGTTGGGTGGAGTGGGCCCAGGTTTCTCTTCCTGGCTTCCTTTGCCACCTCAATGACGTCCTCACAGCATTTCGCTGGGACAGACATAACAGCAGCACACGATCAGCACTTTATGGCCCACGTGAACAGTTTCTTATGACAGAGGTCAGCGCAGCCTCTTTATCAGTCAGCGTGCAGAGGTCGGTACAGACCGACACTTTTTTGTTGATCGCTTCCTACAATTACGCTCATTCACGAGAATGGGAGTTAGACTGGCTTTGACTCATGCAGAGGGAAGTTAACTTTTGAACAATATGCTGCAAATCACATTTCCTGTCTTCTGTAGCATTCATATAATAAACTGTTCAACACTGAACACTGAACAGCCTCACATATCAACAATAAGCAACAAATACATGGCTTTATTATATTCTATGAATATTTTTCTTACCTATACATGCGTGGCTTGCGAGAACTGAGGCGGTGAGCGCTCCGGCAGAGGCCCCGTACAGCCGGGTGGCTCCTTTCACAAGGTACGGGGCTTTCTCCAGCAAGCAGCTGGCCACTCCAATGTGGTAGATCCCCAAGAAGCCGCACCCGGCAAAGGACAAGTTCCAGTCGGCCTTCAGGTCGAACATGGCGGGACATGCCCCAGCTGGGGAACCCTGACTTGAGACGCAGAGGTGCTGTTTCTGGCGGTGGCCGAGCGGAAACAGCTGAACGAAAACATCCAGCTTATAAACAGCCTGGGATGCCTTCACGGGCCGTCTGAATTATTACTAACTGGTATTGTTGTGGATATGTTTTCATTTTACACAAGCGATGCATTGTACGCAAGCTTCTTCAGAGTTCTTTAAATACCGAATATAGTTTCTTCTCCTTTTTCGTGATGTTTTCATGCTGAAGCTGGATGCAGATGAGATTTTTAAGCTGGAATAAATACCTCATCTCCTGCAAGCGCTGCACTCACTCTGCACTGAATAGATTTCTGACCATAACTTTATACTCAGAATTATAAATTATAAGGAAAAAACAATCTGAATTATTTTTTCATCGGCCCCAACACTCTTCCGCAAAACTGTAAGCTTAACTCCTGAAGTAAATCAGGTTTCTTTGAACGCAAAGTGAACTACGATGCAATTAGCGCAAAAATCATTTTGTTGTGACAGTTATGACCCTTATTGAATGCATATGGTTTTGTGGTTATAACCTTAAAGAAGACGGCTAAATACCTTTTAACTCCTAGTTGTTATTTTTTTGTCATGAATTGTTATTTGTTCTGGAATCCGAAAGTCGCACTGAAAATAAACGCACCACTATGTATCCGTCAGCATACGTCAGACGGATGGTGATGTCACTGTTTGCTCTGTCAGAAGAGGATCCAGCCTCTGGCCGTCCTTTACTCTTAGCTTTAGTCGTACAGGTCACGTGTCTCGGAACTTTACGAGAACCTTTAACATGTCAGAAGACGCCGAGCGTAGCAACTCTTCACTTAACTCGCCAATAGCAATGAGACCAAATGGTTTCTGGTTGAAATTCAATTTGTCATGAGTCCTGCCTTTCAACACACAACAAGCTATGAGACTGAGCAGGTTTGGGTTTGCAGTCTGAATGTGTTCGTTGTCAAGAGTCGAATTGGATAGAATTTTTCTGTTGGATTAATGCTCATAGTTTCTAACTGAATTGAACGGAACATGGGGTGAAGGTAAAGAATGTCTCTGAGACAGACCGCAATATATATTTAAGTGCTACCGACATTTTACAGCTTTTTATGACGGAATATAAGCTGAAGATTTAGTAATATATAGTGGCTGTACTCTCCCATTAAAATGCCAGATTTTTTTGATTTCAAAATTACACCAGGGTAGTTGTTGATTTATTTTCAACAAATGCCATCCTGTGTAGTTCAAGAAAACAAATTTATAAGAGGAAAAACTACATATAAAATTATAGAAATTGCCATAACCTTGTTAAATTATGTTGCATGGTGGTGCAGCACTGTTGCCTTGCAGCTATAAGGTCATGGGTTTGAATCCCAGGTGTCCGGGTCTTTCAGCGTGTTCTCCTTGTGGGTTCTCTCCAGGTACTCTGGCTTCCTCCCGCAGTCCAAAAATTGGTCTCTCTAAATTGTCTTTCAGTGTGAGTGTATTGCACATGTATACACACCCTTAAAATAATACTTTATGATTCCATTTTAGCTGCGACAGACACCCTGTCCAGGGTGTACTCCGCCTCTCGCCCAGAACTCAGCTGGAGATAGGCACCAGCACCTCCCGACCCTACTAGGGACAAGGGTGCTAGCAAATGGATGGATGGATGGATTCCATTTTAGCATTCATTCTACCTAACTTTACATCAGCCAGCAGAAAGTAAACATGATGAACCCGATGGAGCTTTGCTCTCCTTGATGGATCCCCTGCTGGTCTGCATTCTTTAGGTAATAACAAGGAAAACGGTCTCAAAGGATCAAAATTATTGTGTCAGTCAGAAGAAAGCTACAAAAAATGCCCCCAAACTACACCGAGACACAAACATAACAGTTGATAATAACAGAAGAAACGGATGGAAAATGAGTGGAATAGACAGCTGCTGGAAATGATTGGTTTTGTTCATGTGGAAACTTCCTGTCAGAGTCTCCATCCTTCTGGACCAACATGTAAAATACAGATTTTGTTGTTCTAAAAGAAACTAGATGGAAAATATTTTGCATTAATGGAACCAAACTTGTTGTTTCGGTACATATTTCAGCAGTACCTTTAATACAAAACAATACAAGAACACTGAGGTTTTTAGAATAGATTCGAATATCACTACATTTTGACCACACACCTTAGTGTGTTAAAATCCAAAGACAATATTTTTGTGTCACAGAGTTTTTAGGGATACATTCAAATAATAATAATAATAATAATAATAATAATAATAATAATAATAATAAATAATAATAAAAAGACTTCCAGGGAGAAAGGTTTGGTATGGCCTAACCAAAGTCCAGAACTAAATCTAACACATATGTTGTGGGTCGCCAGACGAGGTCTGTGGACCATGATGTTTCACAAACTGAAATCTTCGAGGAGAAAAGCTGACCTCATCAGGGGTGTGCAGACTTACAGTTGATCAAACTTTAGCTGTGTCCTTAGCCGTTTCGTTAGAAGCCGTGCACGCACACGTTCTAACTCCTCCTCGACAGTGGTCCTGATGCTGGTTCTCGGGGACGCGCATTACGTCATCTCTCGCTGCGTGGGTCACCTCGCTGCCCGCATCCAGCGCCACGCTCTGCATCCTTTAAGGCCCGTCCTGCCATTACCGTCAACATTTTCATCATCCTCATCTTCACCACACAGGCTCATCTTCCCTTTTTCTAACGGAAAGAATTCGCGTGGGCGAGCGCGTGTTGTCCACCTTGCGCTGGAGAAGCGTTGCGAGAATGGCCGAGAGCGAGGCAGAGACGCCGAGCACACCGATCGAGTTTGAGAGTAAATACTTCGAGTTTGATGGAGTGCGGCTGCCGCCCTTCTGCAGAGGGAAGATGGAGGATATCTCTAACTTCTCCCTGAGAAGCAGCGACATATGGATCGTTACCTACCCGAAATCAGGTAAACAAACCTCCTGCACGGTGTTTGTTGCGCTGGCTCTGCAGCTTCATTTATGTAATGCTGTCAAAGCTTTAAAATAACAGTGCACATAAATGGTTGTGATGTCGTTTTGTCAAAACTATGATTTACAATGTAAGTGGTAAATCTGCTCTTATCTGTTTTTATCCACATGTGCAGCAGAAATGGGTTTTAGAGTCCTCTCACAGCATTTTACAGTCTGCAGGTTGTTTCGTAATCACCTGAAAGCAAGTTAGTGAGTCACATCACATAAACAGATTAAACTCTGGTTGCAAGGCATTACAGCCCACATCGTCACCTGTGTTCTGTGTCATCCTCAGCCACAGACACAGCTGAGCTGGTCGGTGTTTACATGTCAAGCTGTGCAGGGTGTAGCCTGCAGAGCAGACAACCATAGTTGAGCGGTAGGTGTGTGGTGAACAGAACAAGAAAGGTGAATAATTTCTCTGATAAACTGACTGGTCAGAGCACAGGGTGTCAGAGATGAAAGCCTAACCAAGCCTGCCTTATGCATAGGCTTACCTCTCATTACAGGCCAACCCCCGAACCCTAATTTATAAACCTTCAATGTTTTCCGTCAATAATCTTCTATTTTTTATTTATGGCTGCTGGCTGATCCAAATTAAATGTGACATGTATGACTTAAATGCATTGATGGTTTTGGAGCGTGTACAGATTAAGGAAACTTAGAAAATGATGGGAAAGAAATTGGAAAGTGTCAGTCATTAAAGAAAAGTGGTTTGTGAACAGGAGTTTAGTGATAAGTCACTACAAAAATAAAGATGCCCAAATTCTTCAAATTGACTAATATAGGAGTTGGACTCTTCATCTCAGGCTAAACCTCAGTCATCTTAAGAGGGACTGCACAAGAAAAGCAAATAAATGAAGTTAACCCAAGGCAAAATAGATCATATATACACAGAAATGGTTCTGCAGACACAGAAATCATCTCAATTAGACTGAAAACTTCAGGAGGCCTGCTGGTTCATCTGGAAGATAAAACTGTCAGAATCAGGACCAAAACTTTAAACTGAACTTAATTAGTCAAAGTTCTCCATGGCAGAGTGTTCAGTTATAAAGACCTTATAATATGTAATATGTACAGACTTACTCCCTGCAGGAAGCAGTACACTGGATGCTGATGCCTGAGGTCGACTGATAATCTCTCTATACTGTACAAGATTTTAACATAGAAATATTAGACAGTAATCAGAAGTAGAAAACCAGCTCCTTGTTCTACAGGTCTGGACCCTCAGCCATTGCTTCCTGGAGGCATGAACTCTAATGAACGTTTTCCGGTGAAGTATGCAATGTTCCAGTTCCAGTTTGATGCTACGATGCTAACCAGAAATTGTTTAGTTTCTGGTGAAGAGAGAAGAGCCGATCCAAACGAGGCCGGTGTTACTGTTGAGTCAATATTTTGAAGTGTGAGCAACATGGACTGAACGGCATTGTTTACCTCCTCCACTGTCATCACTAAGACTACAGTTAGATTATGATTCTATAAGACAGAGCAGAAAATCAACGTCATCGATCACAATTTCTCCTTCTGTTCCCTGACTGGCCCAGTCAAAAATAAACCAGAGAGAATCTGAGTCAATGGGAGAAAGCCCAGACTGTGCTAGAAGCCAGATTGTTTTCGAGCGGAGTTGCACAGGAATGCAATGGCCATGCTAAGTAATTACCAATTTGAACATTTTTGCATGAAAGTTGACACTGACTCTGACTCAGACTTTGAATTAATACTTAGACTGGTCTAATCCTATATTTATGCCAGTCTACTGAATAAAGGACCAAAAAAGAAGAATATACCCAGTGTTCTGTTATGCAACAGAGACAGAGAGTTCAAAGAAATAACATCCAAGCTGTTTTTCTCAGACTCAGATGTTTGTGGCATTTATTTAGGTCTGAGGGCAAAAGTGAGGGGCAGATCATTCTGAGAAGAGATTTCAAAAACACAAGTTTCATAAGTGTGACGTGTGGGTCATAGTTCAAGACATTCTAATATATGCTCGGACAGAACTTCTTGTCCTCAGCAGCTTTTCTACAGTTTTCCATCCATTCTGTTATAGTTATATGATAACCTTGTTTATTTAACCAAGCTCCCTGTTTCATGCTTTTGGGTCACTTTGTGCATCAGTTGTACTGAGTGAGCCTGTCTCACATCTTGTTCTGAGATAAGTAACAAACACATGACCAGCCCGTGCAGAGCTTTCTGATGCCAGCATCTTGTGACTGTCTTAGCCATTAGTAATACCAATATTTTATATTTTATAACCAGAAGAAGAGAGACAATACTGTTGGTTTACCCTATGAGAGCAGTCAGGAAGACACACTCACTCACACACACACACACGCACCCACGCACACACACACACACACACACACACACACACACACACACACACACACACACACACGCACGCATGCACCACGCACACACACACACACACACACACACACCTTTGTTGTGTAATAGCAGAATAAAGTGACTCACATGCAATATGCTGACACCCTATGCTATTAAAAAATATTTGTCCCATTTCTTGTTTTTATTGTTGTCTCACCCAAAGGCTTCAGATTATTAACCCAATTTTAATATTAGACAAATATTGATTTTTGGAAGTCCAGTTCATTTTTTTCACAGGTCTTCTTATCCAGACCTGTATAATCAAGGAATCACTTAAATCGGGGGAGGAGGGGTCAACTCCAGGTCTCGAGGGCCGGTCTCCTGCAACTTTTAGATGTATCTCTTCTTCAACAGACCAGAGTCAAATAATGAGGTTATTACTCATTATGAGGTGCACTTATGAGGTGATTCAGTTATTGGATTCAAATGTGTTGGACCAGGGAGACATCTAAGAGTTACAGGGCACGGCCCTTGAGGGCCAGGATTGCCCATCCCTGATAGAACCGTTCTGACAACTGAAGTGGGCTGTGTCAAAAAGCAAATCATCATGCCCTGATCTGAACTAATTCAAGATACATGAAAGCTAACTAGCATGTATCAGTCTAAAAATGGTTACAAAGCTTTGAGACTCCAGAGAAACACGGTAACAAAAGAAGCAGAGCAAGATTTAAAGCTCTGCAGGCCTTCTGATGTTTAAGGTTCAACAAGAAAGAGGCTGGACACAAATAGGCTCCATGGGAGAACCACTGCTAACCAAAGCATCTTCTTAATCTCTCTCTTTTAAACAGAATAAACTAGAAAGACATTATTGTCTTTGCATTGGATCATAGTAAAGTTTACAGTGAACCCGTCCTTTTCACCCATTTAGTTAATTTCTGTGCAACATGGCTCAAAATTGTCAATGGAAAATTTACCCATTGACACTGTTCCCTGAACATACAGGGAATCAGAAATCTGAAATTCTTTCAACAATCTAAATCCTTTTCTAATCATCACAAACTGCCAAAGTTCTGGAGATTCAGGTATGTGTAGAAAGCCACCTGTCACAATCACAATAAAATAAACAAATCATTAAGATTTACTTACATAAGCAAAGATAAATAATTAAAGATAAATGGTCATTTGAATGTTGGCACTATTCAATCTATCTTTTTGAGAATGCAGATTTCAAAGTTTTCCCCAAACTTGCTTTGCAACCAGAAAATGCCAGTGAAATCCATAACTATGGATGTGTGAAGAGCCATTCAGAGACCATTTGCTGAGTACTTCCCCTGTCCAAAATAACAATGCCTGCTGGCTCACATTCCTCTAGAAATAGTCAAACAAATTTTACTATTTTACAACCTCCAAAACCTCTACATATGGGGTTGTTTCTTTATATATTCAACTAGTATATTCTGCAAGATGTGAAAAAACCCTCTCAGAAATGCAACTTTTTCTTCTTTTTCTCTGTTGTGCTCAGCTGATTTGTTCCCACTTTTTTTAGTTTGACCATAATTTTATTCACTCTGGAATTTTAAACAATTGATATTCAGAGCTGCTTTGACCAGAGATTCCTGGTTGACATCAGTAGTTACAAGACCTTTCAATGCAACCTGTGAGAATCAGGCATGAGCAAAAGATAATACAGAAACAGTACTACACCAAAACACAATTTTCTTCATAACTTTACCATCTAGTTTCAAGCCTATATGGTCTTTCATGTTGGGTCCAGCATAGTACACCCTCTCTCCTTTAGGTTTCTGTTCACCATATCTGTAACTTCAATTAAAATTTTAGTCTTCTGTTTGCATATTAGCTTTTATTAGAGCAAAATCAAGCACTCTGCTCATGGTTTAAATGTTGCGGGATTTATCAGGGCTGTTAACAGACTTAATATTTCTTAAGTATTGGGGAGAATTTATTTTGGAGCTGATAGACGCCTATCCTTATTCTGTTATCTTAAGAACTGCTGGACCTAAGCAGTTCTTCCCACATTAAACTGACTGAGATCAAATTTCTCTTTATCATATCAGCTTTGCACATGAGGTCACTGTAGACTCATTCAACCTTTGGAGTAAGGTGCAGCCTATTCAATTCCATATACAGATCTCTCGTCATTTATTCTTTTGCAATGTTGCAATGTTGCCCCCAACAAAACAAAAAAAAAAAACAGGAATGTTTTAGTGTCTGAATGATTTTGGTTCATACTCTAGAGTCTAGATACACATTCAGCCACTTCTATCTTGGATTTTTTTATGACCCAAATCCTGCTCCCTCCTATAGCTGAGCGGATCTGTGAAAAAGATACCATGCTCTCCAGATGGGTTCCAGACATTAGAGCTCAGTGTGTGTGTGTGCGTGCGCATGCGTGTGCGCGCACATAGGTGTGTTTGGCCAGGTCTCCTCACCTGGATTCAGGAAGACGTCCCATCTTCCCAATCCAGGCAAAACTCACAGCATATTGTGGTCTTGGCTGTTGGAGATGTCGAAGAAGCTTTTTCAAATCCTCACCCAGAAACCAACATGAGAAACTGAAGCCCCAGACAATAGAATCCCCAAGTGGGAGTTGTATATTGTTGTGCTAAAAATATATATATTTTTTATTTTTAGATTGCTCATTCAATATTCTTTCAATATAAGAGATAATAGAAGAAAATATGTCCATTTTGGCTTTATCTTTGCTTAATAAATAACATGGTGAACAGTGTTTAATTTACCGTTTGATGTTATATTTGAATGAGTTTAGAACATGTAAAAAGGTCAGGTCCTTCATTGTCTGAATGTCCCTAATGTCCTGGTTCTTCTGTCTCTTCATGTAGGAACCAGTCTGCTGCAGGAAGTTGTGTTTCTAGTGAGTCAGGGAGCAGATCCTGATGAGATTGGCCTTATGAACATCGATGAGCAGCTACCTGTCATAGAATACCCCCAGCCTGGGCTGGATGTCATACAGGTACAACAAACATCTGATCAGCATTCAATGAGAACCTTTTTAATGTTACAATAGTTGTATGCTTAGATCAATCTTTGTTGGACTTCATGTGAGTGAACTTGTCACCTAGAACTTCAAGAACGATAGAAAGCCTGCAATACTCAGCATCCACGAATCAGTAAAGGATGAGTAGATGCAGCACCAAAACCCACAGCAGACATGAGGCATCACCAGAGCAGTCATATGAGGCACAAAGGCAGGGCATCAGTGAAGCACAGGAGCAGCGGTCTGCAGGACAGAGAGGATGAGACATAGGGCATAAATACAAGCTTCTTAACATATTTTATGCTATTTCATTGTGTAGTGGCTGCTAGTTTGGTCATTGTAAAGCCACTATATTGTTCAACTAGCTTCAGTTATCTTTCCTTTGTTGAGGTTCATTAGCTTAGCTCTTAGCTTGATGCATTTCTGTTCCACAGTATGCTGTTGTGCATCTCTTTTCGTGAATTAAAGAATCACTTACAAAAATCCACACAAAGTCTGACGAACGACGAACTTTACTTTTCTTTGAGAGGATGACACAAAGTAGGATTCCTTAATCTTGCACAACATTCCGCATGTAACGGTCAAAAAATTGTGTAGAACTACTGAAACACAACATAACATATTCCCATTTCTTTCTGCTCTAACAAAAAAAGCACTTTTTAACGTATTTTTCACTTAGGTCCATTAGGTGGCGCTTTTCTACCAAAACATAATAAAATGGAAACTTACTAATAATAAAATATCTAAATATGCAAAAAGCATTCACAGTCATGAACAATGTCACAAACTGACATTGCCGGCCCCATAATTGCATATGGAGGAAACATATCAATTATATAACATAACCTTAGCAAGAACAAAATATACAGTATAATCAAAAAAGAGGTATTGTAAATGTCTTTATACAATACCCTTCTTATGAATCAAGCACAGCTTGTCAATGGGTCTTTCCAGTGTGTTGGTCATCGTCTTCACAATAACTTTGCGAACAAGACCTTTCTTATCTGGCAAAGTTTTTAGGAGTCTTCCCATGACCCACGCATTCCTAGGAGTGGTTTCATCCATGATTAGGACAACATCATCAGTTGCAAGGTTGTCTTGAAGTATGGGAAAATACTCCTTCGTCCATCGTTTCCAAAATAGGTCAGCAATGTACTGAGACTGCCACCATCTTCTGCGAGCATAGAGATCTGCCTGTTGAAATAGTCCAGCAGGTAATAGAGGTTGTTTTTTCAGTAATAGCAGATGGTTTGGTGTCAATGGTTCAATATCGTTAGGATCATCCGAAACACTTGTTATAGGTCTTGCATTAATGATGGCTTCGACCTCACAGAGCACTGATTGGAGACCTTCATCGTCAAGCATCTGCTGTTTCAGCACAGAGCTCAGCACTCTTTTCACAGATCGAACCTGCCTCTCCCATACTCCACCATGATGAGAGCTGCTTGGGGGATTAAATATCCACTGAATTCCATTTTGTCTCAGTGTATCCTCAATTTTTGATTGGTTCCACTGTTCAATAGACTCACGCAACTGTTTTTCGGCACCAACAAAGTTTGTGCCATTGTCTGAGCGAAGCACCTGGACTTGTCCTCTTCAACACATAAATCTCCGTATTGCATTTATACAAGAGTCTGTGTCCAGTGAATGAGCAACTTCTATATGCACAGCTCTAATTGCAAGGCATGTAAATAGGACACCATATCTTTTAACATTATTCCATCCTCTCTTTATTTCGACTGGTCCAAAGAAGTCGACACCTGTGTTAGTGAAGGGTGGTGAATCAGGCAAAACTCGATCTTGTGGTAAGTCAAACATGTTTTGTTCTCCTGGTTTTCCATGAAGCTTTCGACATACAACACAGTTTGAAAGCAATGTTCTTACTGCTGAATGTGCTTTAGGAATCCAATATTTCTGTCGTAGTTGAGAAAGCACATAGTTTCTTCCACTGTGTCCAGATTGCTCATAGATACACTTGAGAATGAGTCTTGATATGTGCATGTTTTTGAGAGAAAAGCAGGATGTACAGCCTCTTCAGGCATGGCTGAATTTCAAAGTCTGCCACCAACTCTCAGTGTGTTGTCGATAATAATAAGATCTAATTTATAGATCTCACTGATCTTTTTCACGCAAACACCTTTTTGCAGAGATGAGATTGCAGATATGAGAAATCTTGTTGGCAACAAGATTTCTTTGAGTCTTAGCATCCATGCTACAGCCTTTTTTAACTTGTACCAGTTAGAATAGTACTCAATCAGTTGGCTTGTAGGGAATGGAGCACTTGTTGTCAATGTTAAGTTTACCTTTAGTTTCTTCAACTCAGCATCATTATGGTACACAGGTTTACTGTCACGACCGTCAGGCCATAACTCTTCCGGACTTTAAAGAAATGTTGGGCCGTTTATCCATGTCTTATTTTTCAGAAAGTCTTTTGCTCTCAGCCCACGTGATGCACAGTCTGCTGGATTGAGGGAAGTATTGATATATCTCCACTGAGATGGCTTTGTGTTTTCCCTTATAATTGCAACTCTGTTTGCAACAAAAGTTTTGAATCTGTGTGTTTCAGATGAGATGTAAGATAACACTGTAGTGCTGTCAGTCCAAAACTGTGAGTCTTGTAAATTGAGTTGCATTTCTTTCCTCAACATTTTGTCAGTTTTCACAACAACGACAGCAGCTGCAAGTTCCATTCTTGGTATTGTAGTCTGTTTTATTGGTGCAACATGGGCCTTTCTGATGATGAAAGCAGAATGGAATTTTTCGTCTGTCAAATAAGTGACAGTCCCGTATCCCAACTCACTTGCATCGGAGAAGTGATGCAGTTTAGCTGTAATGACAGACTTGAACTGTGCCAAACCCTTTATACTATGGTTATATTGTTTTTTCAATATAATGATTTGATACAAAATCACAATCAAAAATTGACTTTGAATTTTGCAACACTGTTATGGTGATGAAATGATTTTTTGTATTAAAATAAAACATTTTGTTGAAAATGCCTACTTTTGTTTATATCTGTCCCTCTGTCCACACTGAAATCCTGGGTGTCCAAAAAATTCAAGAAAAAAGGTTTTGTGGTTTCAAATTTCTTCATGGAAATCATGTTACGGTAATAAATTTATTTGCTCAAAGTTAGAATAAAATGTTTAAAAATACCTAGAAATTGAAAATATTGAAAATAAATCAAAAGTGGTGTCAGTGGACTTTCTTCTTGTACTTAGCCCAGATTTCTGACACCACACAGAAGTGTCTTGCGGATGAAGAGGTAGGCAGTGGTTCAGGAATGATTTCTTTGATGTCATCTAAATAGTATCTTTTTATATCTGTTAAAATAAAATATCAATAGGAACATCTGTGAGACAGCAAAGTCTTCAACATACTCCATACTGTATTTGCACATTGTAAGCGTGAAAAAGAAAAATAGAAGGAGAGCTGAGACAGAGGGGAAACAAGAGGGAGAAAGAGGCACAGAGAGACACTACCTTTCCCTTTCCTTTCTTCTATACTCCTCTAGAAGCTCCGAATTGTTATAAATCTTCTGTCTATGTTTCTCCACTCTAGCTCTTGATGCTGCCCTCTTATGTTCACTTCCTTTTGCCCTTCATATTAGGTGATATCAATTAGGATAAATTAGCATAAAAATTTTGCCCCCCAAAAAGTTGAAAGTGTAATAAACAATAACAAACATTATATTATCAATCAACATTTATCTATTTACTATTGCAAAATGACACTATTCATACTGAACAGTTTCTTCCCCCGGGCCATCAGACTGCTTAACGCCACATAACACCCCTCCACACACTCACAAACCAAATCATCCCCCCCATGGACATGGTCAATACATGCACTTTAGTTTAGTTTTGTTCACAACACTGAACCTGTGTATTCTATGGCACTTGTATTGTATTTATTTATTTATTGTGTAGTATAAGGTTTTAGCTCTGCTACACTGGTAGCCAAGTAACGACATTTCGTTGTCAAGATTCACCTTGTGTTTTTTTTGTACAATGACAATAAAGCAAGTCTAAGTCTAAGTCTAAGTAAGTAATCTTATTTCTCATTACCGCAACAGGCCTTAGATTACGTGGTAATGAAAGTTATGCATTACGGTAATGAATGACATCCACATGAGCTAGCTTAAAATTCTAGAATACCATGATGACTCAGCTAAACTTTTCTCAAAAACAGTATGAACTCCCTAATTTCGTCTGTACACGAAAGTATCTTATTAATAACTTTTTAAGACCATGAGATATTGTACATTACGGTAATGATCATCTATGGTGTAAAAATATGCATATGGAATGAGAAACTTAACAGTTATCATGATCAAAAGATGTCAAACAATCTTACCTTGTCGCCATCTTGTCTTCACTTCTTTGTGGTGCATCATGTATCAGAATAACTTTATTTTAAAAAATGCTGTGAAAATTACAGGACTTTTAATATGGTGCAACGGTAATGAGAGTTGCACCTCCAGACACTGACTTTTATTAAAATATTCAGAATTATTTAATAGCAAATTGTTACATATTTTCAAATTTTATTATTTTATATACATTTAAACAAATTTATGATATTTTTTGTAAACTTGCTTGATTATTTATAATGATAAATTGAGGTGAAAGCATTTTTTTTCTACTTAGGACACATTACGGTAATGAATTTGTGACTTCAAAAACAGTTAAAAAACATAAAAAAACTTATTTTGGTAAGTAACAATGATCTTTGCAAAATATTAGAAATAATGATTGTTCAAATAAAAGATTATTTATTTTAGTTTTTTTTTGAGTACGCCCCTAAAATCTTATAAGACATTCGATAGGTTGGGTTCGTGAGAATCACGTTTGTGTCAGGAGGCGTTCAGGAGCGTGACAGTTGTAGGGAAGAAGCTGTTCCGGTGCCTGGTGGTTCTGGTCCATAGGCTTCTGTAACGCCTCCCAGAGGGCAGGAGAGAGAAGAGCGCGTGTGCAGGGTGAATGAAGTCCTTGGTAATTTTCCAGGCCCTTTTCAGACACCGCTTCCTGTAGATGTCATTGATGGCAGGGAGCGGTGCCCGGGCGATGTGCTGGGCAGTTTTCACCACCCTCTGGAGCGCCTTCCGGTCGGAGACAGAGCAGACAGAGCTGCACATACCAAACTGTGATGCAGTTGGTGAGGATGCTCTCAATGGTGCAGTGGTAAAAGTTGGTGAGGATCTCTGAGGACAGGTGGTTCTTCCTCAAGGTCCTCATGAAGAAGAGGTGCTGGTGCGCCTTCTTGACGAGTTTGGAGCAGTTGGTTGTCCAGGTCAGGTCCTCGGAGATGTGGACTACCAGGAACTTAAAGCTGTTCACACGCTCCACCCCTATTCCCTTGATGTGGCTGGGTGGGTGCAGGTCAGCGTTCCTCCTGAAGTCCACGATGAGCTCCTTGGTCTTCTCGGCGTTCAGCTGCAGGTAGTTCTTGTCGTGTGTGCTAGGACCAGCCGTTCCAAGCACTTGGTGATGATGGGAGTGAGGGCTACCGGACGATAGTCATTGAGTTTGGTCGGGTTGAATTTCTTGGGAATTGGGACGATGGAGGTAGACTTGAAGAAGGTCAGTACCACGGCGCGGGCCAGGGACAGGTTGAAAATGTCCGTCAGCACTCCTGCCAGCTCCCCAGAGCACGCTCTGAGGACACGTCCAGGTATGCCATCAGGACCCGCAGCCTTGTTGGATTTAATCCTACTCAGAGCCGCTCCTACATCAGTGGAGAGGAGAGTCAGTGGCTGTTGATCTGGGGTGTGGCTGTCTTAATTGCAGTTGTAGCGTTCCCTCTCTCAAAACGAACATAGAAGTTGTTAAGTTCGTTGAGGAAGGAGACATCAGCGGAGGCGGTGGAGGTGGTGGAGTTCTTGTAATCTGTGAGAATCTGAAGGCCTTGCCGTATGCTTGGCAATTAATAATAAGCCTGTATTATCTATAGCAGTTTCTAAGTTTGTACCATTTCTGGAAAGTTGGAGGGCCAAAAAATAATTCTAAGGGCCCGTATTGGCTCCGGGAATCTATATTGGGCACCCCACATTGACCAACAACAAAACTTTGTAAACCTCAAGACTTTTTAATCCTTGATTCTAGATTGCTGAAGTGATTATTTCTGTTCTTCTACAGGAGCTGACCTCCCCTCGCTTGATAAAAAGCCATCTTCCCTACCGATTTCTCCCTACAGCAATGCACAATGGAGAGGCCAAGGTCAGTGCATGTCAGGCCATGTGTGATTCGGTATCTCAAATATGTTAATTGAGTAATTTGGTCTTCTGCTATCATCAGAATGTGCCTAGAGTTTATGGGATGTTAGAGTATGACTCTGCCTCAGGACTTTGATCTTCCAATGGGTATTAGATCTTGTACTTTTTCCCATCAATGTGACTAGGCCCAGCTGCATCATCCTACAGAGGTTTAGTTTAATACACTGTAAAAACTGATAAGTTAGTGGAACTCAAACAATTTCAAGAAACCATTTTAAGGGGGGAGTTGGACTAACTACCTGCAGTTAAAAATAACATTTGCGAACTGGTTAATTTAATGAAGCAGCTGTTCACATTGGGCTTTTACTATTTAACCAAGTTGACATGAACCAGAGGGCTGTTTGACAAAAGAAACATTGAGATAGGATCAAGAAATCCAGGATAAGAGACAAAGCCAGGCTTCACATCAGTTTCATAAAAAACAAACCAGGCTGATGAAGTAATTCAGGTGAATGTGTAATGCCCTGAAGAAGGGGAGTATTTTAATAAAAGAGCCGGACACGGTGCTTCTGCTCCAGCGGTTATTAATATCTAAGGAGGAAGTTATGGTGCTCTTCACTATAGCTAGAGCAAGACTTCCCCTGCTGGTTGAATCTGACCACTGCTTCAACTAAATCAGACTAGTCAGCTTCTGAAATAACCAAATTTCAATCCATTACAAATGTGCATCCACAGATTTCTTCAACAGACTAATGAAATCGATCATAGATTCACTGACGCTATACTGATGGTAGATAGACTGCATTCGCCATACCTCACACCAAACATCTTTACATGGAGGATTATGAGGAACTGAAGCATATCATACTAAAGAAAGGAATGTTGCTACAATAACAAACAACTGTGGATCAACTAGATGCGTAATTAGATGATTAGATCAGTTGTACAGCATCACAACAAACCAATTGTTGGTAATGAAATAAGATTGTTGATGTCCCCGGCCCTGGGCCCTTCAGGTTATCTACATGGCCAGGAACCCCAAAGACCTGGTGGTGTCCTACTATCAGTTCCACCGCTCTCTCAGGACCATGAGCTACCGTGGAACTTTTCAGGAATTCTGTCGGCGCTTCATGAATGATAAATGTAAGAACCTTTCAATCTCAAAATGATTCATTAATATGACTTACTTTATGCTTTGTTTTATCTAGATTTTTATCATATTCTGACTCTGCCAATGTTTTCTTTATCTCATCCGGCAGTGGCTTATGGTTCCTGGTTTGAACATGTCCAGGAATTTTGGGAGCATCGTTTAGACTCCAATGTCCTCTTCCTGAAATATGAAGACATGTTCAAGGTAATATTTTGTCTTCTCCATTTACTCATCCTGAAGTTGTCACATCAGGACAACTTCAGGATGAACCATAATACCAAAGCAAACAAAAAGAATCTATCAAGTTTGAGCCTATTTAAGCTAAAAGAAACCAAGCAAATCAAATTACACCGACTTACATGTAATTTGATAAATAACTAAACAGGGGACAAATGAATATGAAAGGAAGAGGCAGTTCACCCTTACCAAGCTCCATCCAACAGTTCAATAGAACTAGCAGGAGTCATGTGACTGGTTGGGATGAGAGGAGGAGGGATGAAGAACAGTTTGTCTCGGCTCCCTATCATTTTCCCCAGGCCACCGATCCATCTTCTCCAAGTCATCAACATCCTCCAATCAACTGCTCAAATTTACATTTAACCACACCCCTCCTCTTACAACACCAGTCATAACTCCTTTTAATGCAGAGCATTCTCATGTTGTTTATATTTGTGTTTGAACAGAAGAAAGTAAAACCTTCAGGTATCTGAAAACTGTACCAAAGGATGATTTGTGGAGGTCCATATTATTTTACTGATATCTTTTGTTTTGTCATGACGTCACACAAAAAAGCAGTGTGCTTAAAATACACATTGTAGTCTCTTAACAAATAGGAATCATTTAGTAATCCTAACTGAGCTCATATAGGCAAAGTTTTGTTTTGACTGTGAGAAAAATTTCTATTTTTATAGAATGTATTTAAACCTTCCAGTTCCAATTGTTAATGTAGAGATGGAAACAGCACCTACTATGACAAGATTTTGTCATGGCTTCAGGAAAGTTTTAATATTTTCTGATCAGTTTCTACTTCCTGCATTCTTTCATTCAGCACATTGAGACAGGGAAAAGCATGGGAAAATGTGTTTTTTTTTTTTTTTTGGTGGTTGCAAATTGAACCTCAAGCAAAAACAAAGATTTGAAAAAGTTAACCTGTCAAAAAATACAGATGCTGGTTAGGAAAGAGGGTAGAGAAAGGAGTGGAAGACATGCAGTGAAAAGGTCCAGGACCGGGAGTCAGAGACTGGACTCAGCAGACACAACAAATATTGATTTATACTGTATGTCTCACATTCTGAATCTACATCTACTTCAGTTATCTTTACTTGTTTTTGTACTGTGATAGACAGCTTGTCCAAGAGTACAGATTCTGAATGATCCAAATTTTTCCATTTGCTTCTCCAAAAGCCATTTTACTCCATTTTATCTGATCAATTTTATGAGGTTTACATCCACAAATATTCTCTTCTCTCCAGATGTTTTCAAATATCAAAGATGTTGCTTTGTAGGGAAATCATTGAAATCAAGCTGATAGAAATGTTTCAGTTTTTTAAAAATGTAAAGCAGAAATTATTTATGTAAAATATGTGAATATAATAACAATAATCAGCCATGTGGACTTAAATTAACTATTGTCGGTACTCAGTAGGTAAACAGACCTGTAATTTATTTGACTTTTGTTTGTGCTGTTGATTGGAGGAATTGATAACTTACTTGATTCTAATAAGCTTCATTAAATGAAAAATAAAAACATAGATATGGAATTGTCTTATAATTGGCTCTATAATAATGTAAAGTTACACATAAATGGATTTGAAATCGATATAATTTATGAGAAAACAGGTTCTGTTAAGTTGAGGGTTGGTTGTGAATAACTGAGTGAGCAACACAACAGGCGCCCCAACTGAAGAATCAGCAACACAGGCAGGGAGGGGGAGATGAGAAGAAAACATAACATGAAAACATTTCAGAATCATGAAACATTCTCTTGCATACTGAAGTGATTAACTATTTCTCTTTGCATCATCCTGGATCTTCTCCCTTCCGCAGGCTTCACAATAAAAGAAGGAATAAACAAATAAATCCCAGTAAAATCTGTCCTGGCACCACTTAAATGAAAACATCAAATGCAGCTCAGCTATATCAGCTTCCAACCTGTTCATGTTATGTAACAAGATGTCAGTGTTTTCTGCATGACTCAGAGCTGGTGTGAAGCAGAAATCAGGGCTTGACCTTTTCTTGCTCCAAATCTATCTCAGTGTCATAAATGTTCTTCCTGGTTATTTTATGTGAAGTGAGTCTTACAGCTGCTTCTTTGGCTAAGCAGAGAAATGAATGAGGAAAAATAAATTAGTGTCAAATGTTCATTTATAAGTGAAAATGTTGTTTTGAAATACAAAAGAAAAAAAAATCATACACATTTATATATTTTTAGTACAGAATCAGTTTCTTGTATTTACTGTTGAAAACCTCTTTAGTAGAAAGTTCATCCTGACCAAGTCAAAATGGCCTTTTACATTCAAATTATATATTCAAATATCAATATCAATATCAAATTATTATATTCAAATTTAAACTGTGATAGAGACAGACTATGTTGAAATATTTTACTGTCCCAACATGACAGATTTGTTCTAACAAAACTGTTTTGTGTCTGAGTGTGAAAAATCTGACCTACTGTCAGAGAGGTAGTGAAACCATCTGAATGTTTGGAGGTTGCAGTTAGCTTTGTGCACAACTGCTGCTCCAATGTGATGCTGCGGTTTATGTTCCCTTCCCAGAACCTGGGGACGATGGTGGAGCATCTGGCCCGGTTCCTCTGTGTTTCCTGTGATAAAACTCAGCTGGAAGTTCTGGTGGAAAACTGCAACCAACTGATTGAGCAATGCTGCAAATCTGAGGCACTGTCTATCTCTAGCTGTGAGTGAGATCGCAACAGACGGCCTTTTAAAGTTCTCAACCTGTTTTTAAACATTACTTTACTTAGATTTGTTTTAAGAGCCTATATGGAACCGTTAAGTTATCAAATTTTCTCATGTCTTATTTTGAGATTTCCCTGTTTCTTTTTAAATTTCTACCTGGTTCACTGTGATTTCACCACATTTGAATGTGCAATTTACCATTTTGTCAAAGTCACTGCAGGTATTCATCTGGTAAACCAATCAGTGCTGTATTTTTATCTCCACTGATTATTTACTTTTTTTAGCAAAGTTTTTGTCAAAGAGCACTAAAGACAACAAATAACAAGTCTCATTACATAAACACAGTCAACTTTTAAATTCCCCAAACAGAATAGTAATTCTATAATACCTTTGGTCATCTCAGGAGCTTGGCTTTATGAAAGCGGATTAAAAATGAAGACATTGTTATTGTTCCCAAAACTGAGAACTTGAGTTCGATGGAAGAAATCCTACATGGAGCACTGAGGGAGATGAGAATCAAACAGAACTACGTAGGAAGGCAATGACCTGACTTGTCTTCAGAAGTCATTGTTTTACCTAGTGCATCTAATTATCTGATGCAGGTGTTCTGTTTGTGGCCTCAGAGGTTCTGTAGAGAACTTTAGAGAACAAACAGCATCATGAAGACTAAGGAACGGGGCCAACAGGTCATTCAATCTGACTGAGCTCAAACTGTTTTGCAAAAAAAAGGCAACAAAAATTAAAGCTATTAGAGAAATTCCTTAAGAAGGAATACAGTTCAAACATTTTGAAAACAATTTGTTATGTTAGTTCCTCTTTACAATTAAGCACCAATTGTGATTGTGAAGTACAGGTATGAAAAATATTCAAAGGGGAGGAGGGAGGTGAATATGTTTAAAAGAGAATGTGTAGAATTTCTTCTACAAATGTTAGTGATTCTTCTGAGCTCCTGTCATCAACCTACAACATTATGTTCACCCAAAGTTTACAAAAACTTCCTGAATCCCATCATGCAATCCAGAGTAAAAATCAGCTCAACCATCAGTGGATGTTCATTTACAAACACAAGCAAAAAAACATTTCTTAGAACTTTTCTCTCTTAGATAAATCCAGACAAATCAGTTTGCATTAGTAAATGATGAACTGTAATTAAACCTCTTTATAACTCTTTAATTCATTCACAAATTAATGAATTAACTACAGGTTTTAATTCATTAATTTAGTTATGTAAAATGTTTTTCTCCTCAGCACCATTTCCATGAAAGCTTTTTTAATTTCACCTTGTCCACATCGAGTTCCTTCAACACTAACACAAGCTGTCCAATTTTATTAAATATTCACATATGTGCTTCTTTTTCCTTCATCATGAATATTAGTGAAGTGGTTTTCATACAGTGTATTCATCCGACAGTCCATCAGGGATGAGTAGACTTTCACCAAATCAAAAGTGCTAGAACAAATTTATGAATACAAAGTCTTCAGACTAGTGATACTTAAGTTCCTTCAGATTTCAGTTTAAGTCAGACGTGTTCGTATCCAGTCACCTTCTCCATAACAGCTGAAAGGTGCTTGTTACCAGACCTAATCAGACTTACTGCTGTTGAGGGAATTCAGCCATCTTGGTTCCACTGTGTTGGAAGAAGACAGTGGTTCTGGAGGACTGGAAGACCTCCTGGTTTCAAGTCAGCACACTGAATTCCTAAAATTGCTCTCCAATTCCCTTTGAGAGGCTGATGCACCCTCTTGTGGACACTTGTTTGACTTGCACCATATAGTCCATTTTGAACCATCGATCCAGTCTGTTTTAGTTTAAGCCATTTGTCCTTGTGCAATTTTTTTTTTTCAAATTTTGAGTTGCCATTCATTTTTCTTCTCCTTTTTCTGTTTTCCTATTGTTTTCTCATCCTTTCATTCAGTGAGTTGAAATCTGGTGTCTGACCTGTTGCTCTGATCTGTGTCATGTCACATCACATCAGGTAAGCTGAGTAACTGCCAAGGACCGCTGTGCTCACACTGCAGCTAGATCAGTGTAACTAAACTGTGATCACACATAGTCCAGTGAATTTTGTCCTTGCCTTTTCTCCTCTTTCTGCAGGTCGTGTGGGTGTGTGGAGGGACGTCTTCACTGTGTCCATGAATGAGACATTTGATGCTTATTACAGACAGAAGATGGCCAAATCTGACCTAAGCTTTGACTTCTGCCTGTGAGGACTGCTGCACCTCTCTCACCAAAGACTCTCACTCCCCTGATACTACTGATCTCTACAAGTGATCATATCTTGAAGAAATTTATGCTTCTGCATTCCCTCAGCTCAATCAGTCTGAAGTTTAATTGTGCAGTCTGAGTAGATTGGCCTTATTAAAAGGTTCCACAGAAATCACACTTGCAATCAAAAATAAATCACTGTGAGTGTAACTTTTAAAATATCAATGATCAGTTCCAAAATTCACTATATTTGTTGAGACTGCTGTGTGCATTTGAGTTACTGTGGAAACAAACAGGTTCCACAAATCACAGAAAGCAAGAAGTATTTTAATCATGTTGTATTTACATCCACTTTCTTTCTATTTGGAAGCAGATAGTTTCTAACTGCCAGCTGGACTCTGGCCATGTTCCAGAGACTGTTTGGTTTCTTAAACAAGACAAATCACATTGTGTTCAACATCCACAAAAATGGTATAAGGTCTGCAATATTTCTAATGTTATTACTTCTTTAATGTACACATATGAATGTGTTGTACTGTCACATTCAGCAGAAGTAACTCAACATTCACTGACACCTCAGAAATTTGACAGTTGTGAGCTTTCTTCTGAGAGTTGACTTGGTCTCCATTCCAATTCTCCTGTCTTTATCTCCTTCCTGTAAATGTTAGGTGAACTGTGCTGTGCAAACTAATTTCCACTGCTTAGAGTGTAGCACATTATAACAACTCCGTATATACTTAACCAAAATGAAGGATATTTGTTGGGTTTATTGTTTATTTTGAAAAAATGTTTCTTGACAATAGATCTCAAACCGCACTGAAAAGCCTTCGTCGTTTCTCTTGTGCAGTAGAGGTGAGACTTTGCATGGCTGAACAGTTGATCTCTGTCGATGTTTGGTGTTATTTATTGAATTGGCTGACTGTTGAGTAAGCGACAAGACATTTTGCTTATCTAATAATTTATCAAACAAGGGCCTACTGCTCAAACACATTTTCCTCACAAATGTGCCACAATACAACCAACAAACTGGCTCTCCAATAGTACATAATTTATTGCCAAGAAGCATTCTAGCAGCAAAGAAAAGATCGACCAACAAACACAAATTCTTTATTGTTTTGTCTTAAGTTGAAACTGAAATAATTGTGCATGGAGGTGCTTTTATAGAAATTCTCATGGGCAACCACTTTCCCATTATAAACTCTTTTTGACCACCCCAATACTTTTGTTGGCACTGGTAAGATCTATGAAGTAAATACGAACATCGGAACCAACACCTTCTGAATTCTTGATACTGTGACAGAAAGCAGTGCATTACAAAAGTCTTCACATTACTTTAACCTCTTCACATTTCGTCATGTTGCAACCACAAGCTACAATTATCTTAACTGACTCTTATAAAACCAGGTGTTTTGTGAAGGCCTCTGAGGTTTGCTACAGAGCATTAGTGAACGAAACGGTATCAGACCAAGGACCACTGCAGACAGGTCAGGGAGAAAGTTGAACAGAAGTTCAAAGTAGGGTTACATTCTAAAACTTTGTGCATCTCTGTTCAGTCCAATAACTGGCCATCCACCTAAACCAAAGAAATAGCCAAGATATCCATGATATTTTTGGAAAAGCAGGAGAGACTAACAGCTCTGGTGTGAGAATCAGCACAGCTGTCACACCTAAGCTCCCCAGACTGGTGTTTGCAGAATTATGTCCAGAAAAAGCTGCTGATGAAAGAATGGCATAAGAAATCCTGCTTGTAGTTTTCAACAAGCCATAAAGGGAACAAAACAAACATGCAGAATAAGATCCTCACTGTATGGATTAGAATGGGAAGACTCAGCCCAGTCAGCTGACACTGCACATCACCATGAGCCGAGATATCATTGCCACTCGAACCTTGGATTGAGGCTAATCTTTCAGCAGGTCAACAGAGCTACAATAAAATGATTTTGATGAAAGCAGATTTTGGTATTACAATGGACCAGTCAAAGTCCGGATCTAAATCTAATTGAGAATCTCCAGCAAGACTTGAACATTTATTTTCACAGATGCTTCCAATCAAATCTGACTCAGTTTGTACTGATTTGCAAGGAGGAATGAGATGTACCTCTGCAGGTGTGCAGCTGGAGCTGCAGCCAAAAAGTTTTTCTAAAGGCAGTTGCAAGCATACCTTACAGGTTAATTTTTTTTCTTTTGTGTAAAACTATCTTTAAAATCTTTGAAATTGTTGCCATGTTGTTGTGCTTCTATCTTGTCATTACACCATAATTGTATTCACATCAGATCACCCCAAAATACATTGAAGTTCATGACTGGTTCCTAAATTTGAGGTTTATTAATTGTGTTGGAAAGCATTACATGTGCATGTTTAAGTGAAATGTGAAGACTTCTTTTCACATATTTCACTTCTTTCCATCTTTCTCGCCACCAGCAGCTCAGTGGAACCGGCAGCAGGATGTGATGTTCATTTGACAAATAGGTCAGAAAATCCATCTGCACAAATATTCTACTGTTCTTTTTCCGTGTTGGTAGTGTGACTCTGTAAATGAGTAATTCTAGTTTAAGTTTGTAAGTTTTCTTGTTTTAATTTTTATTAAACCATCATTCACTGACTGAGTACATATTTAAGTTCATTTAAGTTTGAAAAGGATTAAGACTGAACTTATTTGCTTCAAGCAACAAAAAAGCACACAACTAATAAAGGAACATGGCTCTGATTTCTGTCAATATTTGATCCATAAGCTGTTAAAGTCTGTTTAATTTTACTGTTGTTCCCTTTGTTTAAATCCACAGTATTCATGTTCTCTGGTTTTACAAAAAAAATTACTTACTTGAACATTAATTGAATTGTAACAAAATCCTGTAAAATGTTTTCACATATTTTTTTGACATGGCAAAGCAGCAGAAAATCCCAAACATAGATATTCTGGGTGTTGGTAAAGCATTGAGAACCTCAGCAGAATGAGCTCAGCTCTATAGCCAGGATTCAGGTGAGCAGACCAGCATTTATAGATCTAAGCAACATCCTAAACTTAATAATCGTATCCTCTTATTTTATTTATTTTTTTGTTGCAAAGATGCCTTTATTGCTTTTATTATTATTGCTATTTTAATTATTTATGGTAATGAGCAGAGTTCTCTAGCTTTTTCAGATGGATGCAGTCAGAGATTGCATCCACATTACAAGTTGCTTTGTAAGGTACTGAAGCTCCACCAAGGACTTACCAACATGTTTTTTATAAATTATATGTTGATTGTCCATTGCTTAAACAAACTGATAAGCTCTGAGAGTGTAACTTTTGAAAGAAGAAATAAAATCCACCTGTTCAAACATTTCGTGTGGCCAAGCACTGCTAAATGTTAGCAAAGTGAAGACTTTGGAACTAGAAAAGTTGCTGTTCAAGAATCAGATATGAGCATTTTGTTCAGTTGAAATTCAGTTAATGTATTCGTCCAAACAGTCATTGTTTCCATCTTCTTTGGCAAGAGTTTCTCACAGACTGAAACCGGGAGCTGGTTCCATAGCACAGCTTGAACAATAGATCTGGGTGCCATTCTACTATCAAGAATTCTAGGAACCAGCAGGAAACCTGCAGTCTGTTAGGAACATATGGACCAATCAGATCTGATGTTTGATGGATCTGATAATTAAGAGATGTGAGAAGGAGAATCTGAAATTCTACTCTGGATTTCAGAAGGAGCTGATGAAGGGAAAATAAAATATGAGAAATATGTTCTCTGACCATCAGTAGGTCTTAGCAAACACAATGAAGAAAGATGAGAAAACAAGAAGAGTCTGAACCTCCACCTCACAACTAATCCTAGTGTCTATTAGGGTTATTTTTTTATGTGAGGTTTTTCCATGAATGTTAATATCTCTTGAAATATCTGAAGTTTTAGATTTTTTCCTTTGGCATAAAAAGGCACCAAAAACCTATGATATAAAGAGAAATGTTCCGTAATTAGGAAAGAAATAGAAATACATCCTAATTTGGACTATTTCTGAGTTACTATTGGTCATCTAACAGTTTTGAATGTGTCTCTGTTGTGATCGTAATCTGAATGGTTTAAAAAGCTGCTTTCTATGAAAAAACTCACATAACCTTATATTAAAGCAGAAAGTACAGCGGCTACCGTAAGAAAGGCTTACAGTATTCAATTATGCTACATAACTGATCGGTAAGGTATTGCGAGGGAACACAAAAGTTTTGCGAAATAACGTAAAAAAAAAAAAAGAAATCCAAAAGTTTTGCGAAACATTCATCAAACATTTCATAAAAAATGTTTGAAAGAGAAACAGTTGAAGTTTTAAATGCAATAGAATTGAATTGAGAACCAGCCTATCTCCATCTCCAGGCTAGACAGGTCACATATCGCCAGAAACAGCTGCAAAAAAACCTGCAATGACAAAACAGAAGTCAGATTTCCCAAAGGCATCATTCCTTTATCCATTTGAATATGTTCAACACAAACATATTCAATTCACTCTGTCCATCTGAGTTAATTCTCCACTGCTCCTTTTCAACTTTGGTTGTTATCGTGTTTGAAGATGCTTTTCTAAGTAATTGTACACGTTTCTCCCCAGCCAACAACGTCATCATTCTGTGGGGAACCATGAGCCAGCTCGTTGTGCGAAGCCTTATCTTCTGCCTGCCCGGTTTTCTTAATTTTTGCTCATTAAATTGTGGCTGTGATCCATTCAATTTTTATTTCTTATTTTAATTTATAATTCACCAACAACTAGAAAAACTCAAAAACCCTATAACCACCTGCTTATCAAGTTCAAAGTTAATATTTTCAATATGCAGATCTTGTTTCTGTTTTGATCTCAGCTTCATTTTAAACAACTCTTGTAATTCAAAACCAAAAACAATCAAAACAAAAGCTTAAAATATCAAATATAGTTATATAAATCACATTTAAAAAATATTCAAAATAATGAATATCAGTATGAATTAAGCAGTCCAGTCCAAATTACCTTTACAAAATTAACTAAATTTTACTGATTTATTGTCTAAACATTTTATGAAAAATCTCTAGAAGAATTAGACCTGTTCTAATTATGCTAATGTATATCTTTAAACAATAACAGATATTTTGTCTACATAGGCTTGTTTGTTTTCTTCAATCCATTTGCTTTTTAATCCGTAAAAATAATGCTTTGTAAATGGCTAGCATAATATTCAAATCAATATGAACCATAATTCATATAGTTTTTTTTCCAAATTGGTTAACCAAAATGTGCTTTATTATCACTGTAAATTTGGTCAAATACACATTTTCTAGAAATTATTACTTTACACAATACTTTAGCCATTGTCAGAACGTCTTTTAATGGAGAACAACTCAAAAACCGTTTAAAGTCAACATCTATGTTCACCACACAAAATCTTTACTTTCACTTTTGATTCAGATTAATGGAATTCTACATTTAGAATATTTAAAATCTAAAAACCTCCTCTTCTGCATGACCATAAATTTCCCTGTGGATAATGCTTCCCTCTGTGTTATTTTCAGCCCAAATCAAACATATTTGTCAAAATATATATTTTTTAATATAATATTTAATGATTCAATAAGTTTCAATAATTCACTAAGCTTCTCAAAATAATTATCTCAATTCCCCCATTTTTAACTACTGCTGTTGCTTTTTGTCATTTGATAAATTAACCTAGTGTCTGGTGTCTTTAAAGAATTGCTACCTATTTATAACCTGTTGTCAAATTTCTCAAGGTGAAACACTTTCATTTTTCCTCCTCTGGATGGTGCTATTTGGATCTGTTTGCAAAACACTGTTCTGACTTTTATTTTGTTTTAAATTGAAATTAGCCATTTCAAAATTAAATCAAATTCCAAAATTGTCTAATTCACCACAAATTATTAATTTAATGACCATTAATCAGTTAAGCCCAGATTAATGTTTTCTAAACTTCAGTCTAGAAACACATTATTTATTTACACCTTTTATTTTTTTTTTAATTCAGAATAACTACTCATATTTGATAGAGTAGTTTAAAGTATGAAATTACACTAAACTTTGCACTTTAGTTCCACTACAAGCAAATTATTCAAATTATTTATGTCAAGGCATTAATAATTTCAAATGAGTAAGCCCTCACATAAGAATTTTTTTTTTCTTTTCTTTTTTTTCTTCTAAGAAAAAGTACCCCTCGTACTTTTCTGCAAATATCCACACTTTTCAGGCCAAACAATATAGTGCAATACCATATCACTGGTCAATCTATCCGCCAAATTCCTATAATTTCTTTTGTGTTGTATTTATATTTTTTATTTATATTTTATTCATATTCTTATTCCTTGCTTATTTTTGCTTCATTTAGGGTTTTGGCTACTCACATTTAGTGTGTACCTTTGTATTTAATTTGTATTTTTTGTATTTTGCGCACTGTGTGCCACTTTTCTGCCTGTAAGCTGCTGGTAACTTCAATTTCCTGAGGGAGTCTTCCCAAGGGATGAATTAAGTCTAAGTCTAAGTCTAATCACACACATTCTATGTTATCACAAACAATAACACAACAAGCAAACCATGAAATTTAGTCAAAAGTCGTGGTCATTCACAAATTGCCAGTCTATTCTCATACTTTTCTCTTTGTTCGAATTGTTCAATCAAATTTTATGAAGCTTCAACAATTTTCCAATGTTTTCATATTCTTAATTTTAGTCTCCAAGGACTTATTTTAATTTACATGTGCACGTTCTAAAAGATCACTCTAACTCTTATTATGGCCTAATAACAATCAATAATGTCCTGCTGTCAAAACATGTTGTCAATTTCAATGAAATGTAGATTCATTTCTTTTTTAAAATTATTTATCCAAAGTTAGATGCATCAAATACTTAAACACCACTGTGTCCATAATTTTCAATACTTAAAGGTTTTTAATTTAATTCTAAACAAATTTCTTCATTAAGAAAAATTCTTATGAAAAACCCATAAGTGTCAACTTAATTCCAAACTTAATAGTTCAAAGACCTTTATGTTCTTTTTCCTTGAGGATTTTTGTTGATAACTTTTATATATTATTTTTATCACTGTTTTTGTTCCGTTAAAAAAACTTCTCGAAATAAACCTAATCATTTATTTAAGCATAATTTAATCCTTCAAGATGACTATTTTTCTCAAAAACACTGTTTAAAGCAGAACACTTTATTTTACTCTCTTAATGATGTTTTATTAATAAAGTTTCATAATATAATGTATTAATTCCCTTGCTAAACTTAAATGTTTAAAAATTCACTTCACAGTTTTCCTGATTGTTTGCTTCTTCTCAATATTCAGATGTAACCAGAGCAACCTGAAAGAATTTCTCCAATATTAAATCATCTAGTGAAAGGTTTTTTAATTTGATCATTCTTATATGTTTAACAGATCAGCAAGCAATCAGTCTTGATTGTAGCGATAGTGCAGATAATTCTATATTGTTAAGTTTAAATTAACTTTAGCTGTGTCAGCCGACTGCTTAGTCTTAAATAACACTGCAGTATAGGCCTTCTCTCACCCAATTGCGACCTTCCTACAAGCTTGTCGAGGGGTGGAAGCTTTGCATTCCTGAGTTTACTGATCCACTGCTGAGTTTTGAAACTGACAAAACAGTCTTTTTCCTCATCAAAGCATAAATTGAGATATTAAGCCAGATAATGTCCTCTTAAAGGATCATAACACCAAACTGTAGAGAAAACATTATTTTCTCTACAGTTGTGAAACATTTAAGAATTATAATTTCTGTTTACAAACTTCCTAAAGAATTCTAACTAAAGTTTAATAAAATATGCCTACCTTTAAACTCAACGTTTTGATGTTAAAAATTTGCATTTAACATTTTCCAAATTATTTTATTGCTCACAATTTATTAACTAACTTAAACAATCTGCTCTAAAGAGAAAATGGTTCTTTGAATTTTAAAAAACTAAAACTACATCCAATTTGTCTTCTCAACTGTTAGATGGCCAGAAAATGACTTCATACCATCCCTCTCCCCCCTGAAATTCTTGTTTCCACTTTGAAGGGATGGTTTTATGGCAAGAAGGTTTCAATAGAAATTTCTAACTAATCCTGTTCTTTCATTAGAGTTTTAGCACTTATATCACAGAATATGTTTCAATTTCATCTTAATTTGTAAAATTTATGATGCTTCTGTTGCCTTTTTTATATGCACTGATGTTTGTACTAAGAAAAGTTTACATGATGGGGAGGGGAGGAGTTGCAGCACAGCTGCCTATTATTCCTTGCTCAGCTGCTGCCTGAACTTCCTCTCTACTGTAAACAGGAGGCGATAAATTCCTCTTGCTCCTGAAGCTTCATCTTCAACCTG